CGTCGTCGCCGTCGTCGCCGTCGCCGTCGCCGTCGCCGTCGCCTCTGCCTCTGCCTCTGCCTCTGCCTCTGCCGCCGTCGTCAGTAGAAACTTAACCAATTTGTGAGGGATGTCTACCCCAGCAAGAAGAAGATTAATGAGAGATTTCAAGAGGTATTTTGGTGTTATAATGAGATTTTAACTTGCTATGCATCGGTTTATCCATTTCTTGCTCTGTATGATCGAGCCAACGCCATTGTATGTGTGTAAAGTGCAAAGCAGCACCTAGTGCGCCGCGGACGTCTCGCAATATTTTTTGACAACAGTCGTGTTCGTTAGAAAGTTTGTTCTTTGCAAGTAATTTTCTCCTATGATATATATATATATATATATATATATATATATATATATAAGTCCGAGCATTTCTCCACGCGGGGTCTGCTTTTCAGCTGTTTCTAGGAGTCTTGTGTGAATTTTTGACGATGATACCATGACCGCGAACTTGAATAATGATTCCCGTTCAGTTTTCGATATAAGATTAGATAAAACATTCTCATAAACACTTTAAGTATAACATGTTTTAGAGATTCCGATGTCGCAAAAATTGCAGAAAACAAATTGGAGTAAAAAATCCGAACGAGCAGTAATTTTGTTTTTCTTCAAATCCCGATAATTGCAGGTCACATGTGTCTCACGTGTGCAAAATTAGTAGAAATTTTGCGATAGTATCACAAACAAATAATGATATAAATTTAGCAATACAAAATACTTATGCAATATGACACTGAATGTGATCTATATAAATAATACTTATTTTTAATATTTATTTGTAGAATGTAGAAATTTATTTGGCAGAATTAATTGTGCATGTGTGTGTTATATGTAGAGCAAATATAAAATTGTAAAAATAGATAATTTTGAAAAGGTTACAGGAGGATCCACCTACTGGAGTGTCAGGTGCTCCTACAGATAATAATATAATGATATGGAATGCAGTTATATTTGGGTGAGTTAGTGTTATTTAATTTGCAGCAAGAGATTTATATATTCTTTTTTTTATAATTTTATATACAAGTCACAAATATATTTAATTTAAAAACAAGTTGAAAACTTTTATTTAGTAAAAATATATAGTTAAAAATTCCATGTGTACAACCATACTTTATGTAGAAATCTGTTTTTGTTCCAGACCACATGACACTCCTTTTGAAGATGGCACGTTTAAACTTACAATAGAATTTACTGAAGAATATCCAAATAAACCACCTACAGTGAGATTTGTTAGCAAGATGTTCCATCCGAATGTATATGCAGATGGTGGAATCTGTCTTGATATACTTCAAAATCGGTGGAGTCCAACTTATGATGTCTCAGCCATTTTAACATCTATACAAGTATGTTAGTTTTGTCTTTATTATAAAGTATACTTGACATTAGCGTAATGTTTCTTTTTTTGAACAGTTTTTAATATCAGCTGAAGAGTCAACTGTACAAATCAAATTATTATTACATACATATGTGTGTATATATAAAAGTGAATAATACAGGATTTATTTTTTTATATTTCATAGAGAAATTGAATTTGTAACACATTTTGTCATAAGATATATAAAAAACTTTATAGTTTTTGTTTGACAAAATGTTACAATAATCAGTAATGCATTTTGCATAACAATTAGTAAATATTATATTATTAGTACATCAGAACAAAAACATTTATGAATTTATTTTCATCATTCACATATTTATTTTGTTATTTCTGTTACTTATGTTTCACAATATATGTACTCTTCGCTGTATTGTTTTATTGTTTCAAAACAAAAATGTTTATCATTTCTATTACTAGTTATACAAAAAACATACCTGAAGGGATTATTTGTTTTGTCTTAACAGCGGTTGCAATTCAGCAAAGTCTAATCACATGTTTTTTAATAAAAGTTATTTGTGCATAGATTGCATAAATCACACACGTGATTCTAATTACTTTTCAATTATTCGTAAACATGCATCTTCTTGTCTTTTGGTAATATGTAAAGAGAAAAGATGGGAATAAGTGGATTCTAAGATTTTTCTCGTGTTCTCACATTCATTTAGAGTTTATGACAATGCACCTTGTTGAAAGAAAATAACGTGATTTTATCTTCTCAAGTAATCATAATAAAGTACGACTTATGTGATTGCAGTCGCTGTTAAGTGATCCGAACCCGAATTCACCTGCCAACTCAATGGCAGCACAACTGTACAAAGAGAATCGACGCGAGTACGAGAAACGAGTGAAGGCGTGCGTGGAGCAGAGTTTTGTGGATTAGTCGCGGGGGTTAAATGTGATGCTGTATTAGCAGCATCAATCATCAGCAGTCACCAAGAGAGAAGAATGTGCAGCCTTATCAAGGAGCCAATGCTAAATAAGAAAAAAGAAAAGAGAGAAAGTTTTCGCAGCCCGAAAACTCTTTCGAACTACTATGACAATGTGCAACGTTAGACCGAATTTTTACAATGTTGAATAATAAATTATTATGAAATTGCATATTTATTTATTTCAAATATATCTAAAATAATACATGAAAATTAATTATATACTATATTAAATGTTAGAGTGTAATAATTAACTTGACTTCTTTTTGTTTTCTTCATTTTTTCCTTTTTCTTCTGTAAGAGGAGTGCTGCATTCCTCCGGAAGAGAACTGTTACTTGGATTTTTTCTTATCTATTTTGGAGTATCACAGAGATTCACACATATATATTATATATACATATATATAAATAATAATGGTAATAATAACAATAATAATAGTGATAATAAATGCATAATTTCACTTTAACTGATAATTTGTATAATTTGATAGTTCGCTTTCCATAACCTGGTAGTCCTACTTATATCTGTACTTTAAAACTTCTCTGATTTCTTTGTTTTTCAAAAGAATTACAAATGCACGTCTATAGAATGATTTGTTGAAGACATTTGTGAACTTTATGTTACAGTCGCTTTTGGACGAACCGAATCCTAATTCACCAGCCAATTCTTTAGCGGCGCAATTATATCAAGAAAACAAACGGGAGTATGAGAAGAGAGTGGCTACTGTAGTCGAACAGTCTTGGCTGAATTTTCAAGAGACTCACACTGAAGATCCTCGCTGACATTAATGTCGGTTTTTATGCGACGATTTAATGCAAATTCTTTAATAATAAAATTTGTCCTTGTCTTAAGAAAAAATACGATCAAAACGCATTATACCGAAACTCTACATGTAATATTCTTCAATACTTTATTCGACGAGTGTTCTGCGTATTCAGTCATACAATACCAGAAAACTGCATGGTTATCACACTTGTTGCAAAAAGTAAAAACTTAGGTAATAAAAGTTAGAGAATCGGAGTGGCGTTAAATCGTACTGTTAACTTGTGATCTTTTATTATAAGTACAATGTATTGTTTTGATTTTACAAGTAGACGTTAGGGTGTTTTCTGTTACAAAACACGTACAAAAGATAAAACAATGTAATGTTTTCCGTGCAATGTTTTGCCATATATACAATACATGTTATTTTATAAGTATAATTGCGTGTGCGAGAGCTTGAGAAAACTAAAGTTGCTAAATATGATATAAAAGTTTGCCGATTGCTTTTTGAAATCCACTTTCACAATGTAAAAATAATAAATGGGAAATAGTGCGTAATTATTTCGTTTTCGACTCGGTATGTATCAAGAAAATACGCGCTTGTGTATTAGATTGTAAACGAACATGTTATATTGGATAATATTGAATAAATTTTGCAAGAAATGATGTTGAATTTTTGATTTTTAAGGTCAATTATTTAATGTGTTATTGTAAGTTTTAAGGTCGATTATTTAATGTAAGTTACTGTGTTCACACAGTAAATTTTCGATCGAATCGCTTCGGAAGATATTACTTTAAATAAAATCAAATATGATTAATCGATTTGCTAAGTTTATATTTATCAGTAATCACTTTGAGAACGATTCAACCAATCAAAATTGTTATAACTGATGTTAAGAAAATATTATCAATCGTAAGAAAACAAGAATAATATATATATACCAATTAAGCTTTGATATAATCACAGCTATTTTTTTAAAAAAAAGATACATTTAAACTAATATACCAGCTAAAACTGAGATAACGTTATTATTTAATCTATATATTTCATATAGATACGTTTTAGCATAAAACTTTGGAAGTGCAAATAATAATCTACTCATTTTATAGTTATTTGCAGTCTTATCTTTGCTAATTTTATTGCACATTTACATCATTTTATATTATATTTGTAAATTGTGCATTTTTTCATATATATTATTGCTGTTAAGGGACCATATTTTATTGATCAATATATGTATATTTTACATGTATATATACAGGGTGATTCAGAACAACCCGTTATCTTTGAAAATACATATTCTTGACTAAATTCTAAGACAATTTTTTATTTGGCAAAATTTTGTCTGACGCTTACTTTTTGAGTTACTAATAAAAATAGTTGACGTACCATGAGTCGGATTTAAAAGGTAGGCAGGGGCAGCGCAACTCCCCGTGATTAACAGTGATTTATGTGATGCACGGATTAAATGATACAAATTGCGAATGAGTAAATAAATTAAGTAAGAGAAAAAAAGAGAGAGATAGAGACAGAAAAAGATACAGAAACAATGCGTAGCGATCAGCTGATCGCGTCAGGCACCACACGTAATCGCCCGCGTCTCTGACGGTAAGTTGCGCCGTCCCTGCCTACCTCTTGCATCCGACTTGTGGTAAGTCAACTATTTTTATTAATAACTCAAAAAGTAAGCTTCAGACAAAATTTTGCCAAATAAAAAGTTGTCTTAGAATTTAGTCAAGAATATGTATTTTCAAGGATAACGGGTTGTTCTGGATCACCCTGTATATACAGGGTGTTCCAGAATTGGTGTAACATCTTTCGTAGACAGATAGGAGTAAAACTGAGTCGAAAAGCCCTATATCATTTTGGTAGATTCGCAATAGCTACTGAAATCTTAATTAATAAAGATTCGCGAATAAGCATGCATAAGACAGCCCGGCGCGCTTTCCGCGGTTACCATTTACTATGTTATAATATATGCTGTTATATTAGCTTCTCCCATGCGTTGCTACAGGTAATACCATGAGCGCGTGAAGCACTCCGAGCTGTCTTACGCACGTAAGACAGCCCGATACACGCTCATTCGCGGATCTTTGTTAATTAAGATCTCGGTAACTATTGCGAATCTAACAAAATGGTATAGGACTTTTTGACTCAGTTTTACTCTTTCTACCTGTCTACAAAAGATGTTACACCAATTCTGGGACACCCAGAATGTATATATATAATTCCAACACAAAATCCGTAACTTATCTAATATAATCGTGTTATCACATGTAAAATCATAAATATTGTGTTCTCATCCGTCTTGCAACTTAAATACAAAAATTAAACAATTGCTCGACCTTATAATTATTAAATAAGAGATTGTTGTTTGAAGAAAAATAATTAATAGAAAAAACTAAATTTAAAATGCTTGTAAAATATAATATATTTTAACACACACACACAGAGTGCGCACACGCACTCGACGCAAAGCTCAGAATAAAACTCCGTATTCTACCAATTTCACGTAAATATTCGGAAACTTATGAATCTTTCACGATCCTCTTGCTACGATTTTTCCTCTTTCTCTTTGTTATATCTTTCGAGCTCTTTGAGAAATTGCGCCTTAGGCTTCATAACATTAGGTCGATCGCCACGGCACTTGGGACAATACCACTTGCCTTTGGGCTTGGTGGTGAGAGAAACGCATGAGAAATGAAACCATTCTATGGGACACAAATCATTGTCACAAAGAATCATCTCGCCATATGATATCTGATCGCATAAACAATAAGTTGGTTCATCAGGATCTATCGCAAGATCGTCCTCCGGTGGCGGTGGTGTGTCTTCACGATGCTGATTCTGTTGATTACCCTGTCGCGATTTTCGCTTCTTCTTTTTACCAGTAGTAGCTGCTGTTGTTTTCTTCTGATTTCCGTTGCTTGCATTAGATAACGTCGATGATCGAGTTTCTGTCATGCCAACCATCATATCCATAGAGTGTGCCGATTCTATTAGTGTCTCAGTCCTAGTTCTTCTAGCACGTTTTGGTTGACGTTCCATATTATTTGCATGGCTTGTATTAGTAGAATTACTGTTTGCATTAGATTCACGAACAGATTCAGAGTTTTCTTGTTCCTTTCCAAAGTCTATAAGACAAATAGTGAAAATAAATATTTTGTCAAAATTAATTTTAAAAAATAAAATTAAACAGCAAAATATATACCTAGATTTCGATAATCCAAGTCCAACTGCCTTGATTTATTTTCTATAAGATCTTGCACTTGTTGTACAATCTGCAATTTTTCATCACCTAATTCTTGTGCTGCAATCAAAGCCTGTTGTACTCGTAGCAAAGCTCTTCTTTTTATTATAGGATCTGTATCATTTCTCAATGCTTCTTGATGCTGATCAACTTCACGTAGATATGCTAAATGACAACCATGAAATCAATAAACAGTATAGCACAGATAAAAAAGAATTTATAATAAAAATATTTTAAGAATATTTCACTTTCACAATTGTAAATTTAGAAACTACAAAACCTGAAATTGCACAAGTTGAATATAATTCATAAATTACTTTAATAAGTTGAGAGGATAAAATTCACAAATTACTTTGACAAGTAGCATCAAGTTCCCGTAGACGGGAAACGTATCTCTGTAAGTCATTTGGCAGATTTTCTACACAATCCAAGTAATTTTCGATATACGTTGCCGAATACAAAGCTTCAACTACCGCCTGGTTCAACATTGTCAGTTAGTTTTTTGGTTTCTCTGTTTCTCGACTCGTTCCTCATATAACAATAATACACCACAAAGCTCCAACGTTCCAATTCAGTAGCAACTATTGTTACATTTTTTTGCATAATTTTTACATTACATCTTCACAATTGCGGCTCAGTAAATCTTAGCGGTTGATCTATACGCCAGTGTACAGTTTGGTTTGGTCGTTTGGCTCAGTGGACCTGTAAAGCTAGTCCATACGCCATTCTACGTCTTTTTGATAATAGGATTAAAACCGTGGATTGGATTCCTGACGCCAAGGAATTCAATCGGAGTTGTATATTTGTTTAATTAACAGATAATAATAAAGAAAATGGTGTAAAACACACCGAAAATTGTCCAAAAATATTCACAGCGTAACTACGCAGATCCAACCGATCAGCAACGCGTGTATGCTTGTATAGCCGGAGAGAAACTCTGTTACGCTAGTGTAAGTTTGTATTACCTATATATATAATACTTCTATATTGCTAGTCAGTGTTCCGATATTGGAGAGGCTGTACGCGCATGCGCGGCGTTTATAACGTCACAAAAGTATCTAAAACAAGTAATATGGGGTACTGTCACTGGAACCGATTATTTCATTTAAAAATTTTTAAAAAAATGTAAATATAAAGG